CCTCTCTCTCTCTCTCTCTCTCTCTCTCTCTCTCTCGGTCTTCTTCTTCGCCGTGGTCTCTTTTGCAGGTGCGCGGCGGCTTCTCCAACCTCCAGGTCCGCTATGGCGGACTTCTTCTCGTGGCGGCCACCTCAGCTATGGCGCATCACTCCCTGCACACGACGGCGCGCACGATACCAATGCAATCAGACTCGCTTTCATTCACAATTTTCATGCATGCAAACAGTAGCGCAGCAAACTGGCGACATGCGCCCACTCAAAACTCAGAGATCTGGAAACCCAGATACGAGTTCACTTTCAATGACTATGGCGACTCAGCGCCCAAACAACTCACAGTTCGCATACACCGGATCACCCTGGATATCCCACACGCGTTCCTCTGCACTCTCACACACACACACGCTACACACTAACTATAGCTATGGCGGCTATGGCCGCAACTACCCTATCGCTATGCTACGCTCCGCTCTCGCCCACTTCGGCTCCGGGCTCACTGCAGACCTCCTTGCACAAGTCGCTGTGGCAGCGCTTCCGCATGGCTCACGCAGGAATGAATGCTTGGCTGGGCGCTGCCTCTTGATTTATACTTCTGAAGCTCGTTGGTCTGCCCTTTTCCATCAGCCCATGGTGCTCACAGTCCCTCGTGGTACTTGCTGGACCGGACTGGGACTGACTGGACCTTACCGCTGACTGAATGGGGACTCACTGCTAACCTGCAGGGGTCGTACTGCAATCGTACTGCAGTTAGTCCACCACTGGGCTCCCCACTTGCCCACTTGCCCGACATTCTAGAAGGACTACAGCTCAAACTTCTGGAACTCGCTAAGACTTCTATTCTACAGATCTACAGATCGAACCCCTGCTACCTACGGACCCTACGACAGTCTACTAACTGTTACACATACACAGGTCGTGGGTTCAAGCCTTGGGGTCGACACAGATACTGTACACCGGTAGGGTAAGGGCTAGGGATCGAGCCCTGGGGTCTGCATCTGCTACTGCAAAAGGTGAAAACCGTTTCAGTTGTGTACCATCAAGGATTTGAACTCGTATCCAACATCTGAAGCTCATGACCTTTTTATAAGTGGCTGCATACCATTCAAGATTTGAACACCTGATGATTTCAACACCTGACAATTTGAACACCTGACGATTTGTCAACTATATGTGTACCATTCTGAATTTGGGGGGTTACTATATTAGGAATTTAGGGGAGAGAGATTGTCGTGCCCGGCAAACTTGGAAGGAACACCATGCACATACTACAGGACGCTGCCTCGCTCCAGTAAACCCATGGGACAAGGAGAAAT